TGAATCATCAGAGAATCCCATCAGGTACACACATTCCCAGGCCTTAGCTCCAGTCTGTCCAGTTAGCCTGAGACAGAGGCCGGCTACAACTATCGGACAGCACAGAGAGCCACTGTCTCAGTACACACATCACAATTTGATAAATACCGTACTGAGATTTTTACACATCTCAGGGAGCAAGCAAGGTGACTGCCGAGTGCTGGAGGAAGACACTGAAATGCTTTATTAGCAGTAAGCATGTGGACTGCTTGAGATGCCTCGGGCCTAACTGGAAGGTGCACAGCGCCAAGGGGATGGCCCGGAAAGGACGGTCCTCACTCCCTCACTGCACACTGAGACGGCAGCTCAGCCTTTTCACAAAACAACCAGCTGGAGGTGAAGGTTACAGTAATGACACAGTGCATGGCCAAGAAAGGGGCAGAGCTGATCTTGTTCTAAACCTATAAATATTCGCCAAATTATAAGGTTGAAACTTGTAAAATCATATAACCTGTGGATAATTATTTCTAGAGGAAAATTATACTATGGAAAGAGTCTCCTGAAATAATTATTGAAATTTTTTTATGCTTCTGCAGCTGAAAACGTAAGGACATTGCGTTAAGAAAATTCTCCAATTTTTACCTTAACAGTTTGGAATTAACTTCATTACGTATTTAGAAATCTACAAAGTCTAAAATCACATTTTTTAAAAGTATTCCAAAGTTGCTTCTGTAGGTTTTATAAAGGTACCTGTTAGAAATACAAAACTTGGGCCCGGTGCAATGGTGCAATGGTTAAGGTCCTCGCCTTGCACGCCCGGGATCCCATATGGGTACCGGTTCTATCCCGGCAGCCCCACTTCCCTTCCAGCTCCCTGCCTGTGGCCTGGGAAAGCAGTCGAGGACGGCCCAAAGCTTTGGGACCCTGCACCCGCGTGGGAGACCTGGAAGAGGCTCCTGGCTTTGGATCAGCATAGCACCGGCCGTTGTGCTCACTTGGGGAGTGAATCATCGGATGGAAGATCTTCCTCTCTGTCTCTCCTCTCTGTATAGCTGCCTTTCCAATAAAAAAATAATAAAAATAAATCTTTAAAAAAAAAAAAAGAAATACAAAACTTGCCTGGTCATTGGAACACATGTTATTTATCTTCCATGAAACAAACATTCGTTCTCTTCAGGAACGGGACACTTAGACTTTAGAAAGCTTTTGTTCATTTTACCTTAGCCTCCCACTAGATGATTAGGGTTCCAATACCTTATATCTTCAGAATTAAAAGAAACTAACACAGCATTTGCACTTTTAAGAATATCCCTGCTTGCCCATGACATAGGAGAACCAAAAGACTTAATCAAGAGACTGTTGGAATTCTTAAAGAGAATGTGGGAGGGTAGCAGGATACAAAATTAACAAACATAAACCGATGGCACTAAACAACTCCACGGCTGAGAAGGAAATTTAAGTACAGTCTCCTTTCAAACAGCTGAGAAGAATCTCAAATGCCTTACAATCAACCTAACCAAAGCTGTGCAAGACCTCTACGATGAAAATTATAAAATACTGGAAAAAAAATAGAAGAAAACATTAAAAGAAATTTAACATGTTTCTTCATCGGCAGAAATAATAAAACGTCCCTAATAACAAAGTAATGTACAGATTCGATGCAATCCCAATGAAAATCCCAACATTCTCCTCAGGAATAGAAAAGCTGTTTGTGAGTCAGCACTGTGAACCTAACGTGCAGCCAATTGGAATTTGCTGGCAAATGAGTGTCAATAAAATATCCAAACATGATGCACAGAATCTGACGTCTCTCACTTCACTGCGGTCTCGGCTATCACTGACACTGGCTCTGTACCATAACTCAGCATTGTCTGTGTGAGGATGAATTATGAGCTGTAATTCTGTGCCAAGTAATCTACAAATAGGAACTCAACAATCTACACTTCTCCAGGGTCACTTCATGCCCTTGATACAGCTGAGAGGAAACAGTCTCTCAACTCACCATAAACCCTGGTCATTACCACATGAAATATATAAAAAAGTTGCTGAAGACTTCAGGCAAAAGAGCTTTTTGCTGCTACTGTCTGTAAAAAATAATGACTATGCTGGGCAAAATTTCCAAAATCCATGTAGTTTTTCCAAAATACACTTTTCTCAAAAACTTTTTCAGAGAGTTTCATTCTTAGATAACAGCACTTCTGAGCCTTGAAAAACTTAAACAGCATTTACAATGCATGTTTGGTGTATTCTAGCTAAGCAGAGAGTCACCCAGGAGCAGATGAACACAGGAGCACAAAGGCAGGATAAAAACACAAGCTCAGTGCAAGTTAACAAAAATTAATTTAGGACATGGTCCATTAAAACGTTCACTAAAGAAACAGACATGCAGGGCTGGAGTTGTGGCACTGCATACAATACCATGCCTCATTCAGGAGCGTTGGTTCAGGCATAGCCTGTTTCACTTCTGATCCACTCCTGGCTAGTACACCTCGAAAAGTAGTAGGAAACGACCCAAGTACTTGGAGCCCTGCACCCACGTGGGCGAAGAGCCTGAACTGGAAGCTCCTGGTCACCAGTGGCTCAGCCCTGAGCAGCGCACTCATTCGGGGAGTGACCTGCTACAGGGCGGGTCCCTGCCTCTGGTCCTCCCTGCTGTATTTTGTTCCTAATAAATAACTCTTAAAATTTTTTTTGAAAATTCCTATGTGGGCCCGGCGTGGTGACCTAGTGGCTACAGTGCTTGCCTCAACACGCTGGGATCTCTCAGCAGCTCTACTTCCCATCCAGCTCGCTGCTTGCGGCCTGGGGAAGCAGCTGAGGCCGGCCCAAAGCCTTGGGAGCCTGCACCCGCATGGGAGACCTGGAGGAAGGTCCTGGCTCCTGAATCCTGGCTCCTGGTTCCAGAGAGGCAAAGCAGCAGCCACTGAGGTCACTTGGGGAGTGAATCATCGGACAGAAGATCTTCATCTCTGTCTCTCCTCCTCTCTGTATAACTGACTTTGTAATAAAAATAAATAAATCTTGTAAAAAAAAAAAAAAAAGAAAATTCCTGTGTAATTACTGGCACCACAAATACAATGACATTGATTAACTGCACAAAAATACAATTTGTTTTCAAACTATAAAATGGTAAAAATCAACTGTAATAGTAAAATTTATGAGGGTATACTCAATCCTACTTAAAACAGAAAATTTGGACACAATAAAAACTAGTTCAAAAAGCTGAAGCTTGCTATTTTCTACAATTATCTTATAATTCATTTAAAATTCTCTAACTTAATGAAAAAGGGAGTTTTTCTTTTTTAGGTTTTTTTTAAACAGTAGATTATGGGTGGATTTACCTAATTTTCAAAATTAATGCTTGCATTTTATTTATTACCAAAGCAAGAATACAGTGCTTGCCTCAAAGCTGCAGAATCCCTTCCTGTAGAGACGACAGTCGAAGCTGCCAGACAGTGGCTGCTTTGCTTCTCCGTCTGGGGGTCTGCGCCGTGGCTGGAAAGATCCCCAGCAGGCTCCAGGACACAATGATCCGTAAAACCTACAGCTAGCTGAAATAAAACCAGATGGAACAGGACAATTTTCAGGCCACACAGTGGCCCACGTTCACATTCTATTCATTTGATTCGAGCAGTGCTACCAACAGCCTCCATTCAAGCTAGAGCAACTGTGTGTCCTTCACAAAGCGTGCAGGTTCATCAGCCTTCCAGACATTTTAACTGGAGAAACCAAACTCGATGGCAAACAACACCCTTGGGAGGAGAGAGAGCATGTGTTAAAAATTAATGTATTATCACCTCACTTTTTTAATTTTGGCAATAATATTAGTTTTGGGCCCAGCATGATGGCGCAGTGGTTAAGGTCCTCACCTTGCATGCCCGGGAACCCATATGGGCGCCGGTTCTAATCCTGGCAGCCCCACTTCCTATCCAGCTCCCTGCCTGTGGCCCAGGAAGGCAGTTAAGGACGGCCCAAAGCTTTGGGACCCTGCACCCGCGTGGGAGACCCAGAAGAGGCTCCTGGCTTCGGATTGGCATAGCATCGGCTGTTGCGTCACTTGGGGAGTGAATCATCGGATGGAAGATCTTCCTCTCTGTCTCTCCTCTCTGTATATCCGCCTTTCCAATAAAAATAAATCTTTAAAAAATAATAATAATATTAGTTTAATTTCATTAGTTTTATTCATATAAGAAGTTTATTGTACTTCAGTAAGTGGCACATACTTATAACTTCTAAGATATTTTCATGAATACTACCCGGCAAAAATGCATACAAACCCAAAGAGATTAATAATTTCAAATTATTACCTGTTATGTATTTACCTTAATATAATTTCCCATATGTCATTTTTACATTTTCAACTTCTCACATATTACTCCAACACAGGAGTTTGGGAACAACACTGAGACTAATGCATGTCCCCATGTTGCAATGAATATGCCAGAACACATAGGATACAGCATTTCAAAACCCCAAACTAAGGCCTTATTTTAAACCAAAACTGGAAATTTCTTTCTGTTTTACTTCTATCATTAGAATCAACAGATGAATCATAAACAAAAGTGAACAGTAGAAATTCAGTTAGTAGTATTAAAACTAATGTAACTTGAATTTTTCAATAATTTCCCTTTTAACAGAAAAACAGTAGCTGCCAAATTTTCATCTAAAAATTTCTACAGCACTTACTTGGTAATTACTACTCCTTAGCATTCTACATAGTTCTTACCAGATAAAACAATTTTTTAAAAAATGCTCATGTATATGTGGATGAGACTTTAATAAAGTTGTCTGAAATAATAACAAAACATCTCTATTTCAGTTGTAATTTTTCATTCAATGAACAATTTCAAAACACAAAGATTAAAGCTGCTTTCTAAGTCATTAATTTGGACCATTTTCTAACTACTGTTCATAATATGAAACTGCAAACCTTAAAGAATTCTACACTACATTGCTAGTTCAATAAATACTCCCTCCCACTCACCCTTTGAAAAACAACAATGTCATCACTCTAGCTTTGTTAGAAGTCACAAAAAAGTTTTATTTAGGAAAAATATTCCCTTCGTGTTTATTAGATAATGAATTTTATTAAACTGAGTTATTTATCTTTACTTTTCTATATAGATCAATTAAAAAGAACACTCTTTTTCATAATTACTTGTCTCATTCTGCATGGCAGATAAGAAATTAATACCTTACTTCTTCCTACTTTAAAAACCATGAGATTTTCCTCATTACAAATTAGCTTTTTCTGTACGGACTGCTGTTATGCTGCTGCTAAAAACAGAGTTCAGGATAAGGACACAGGGAAAACAAACCAGCAAAGGTAACACCAATCAATAATGGAATATATTAAACATTGTTTAAATAATAAGACAGCAAAATATTCCTATATTAAATAAATTAAGCCTTGAATTGTCACAGGGTCTGAGTGTAGGCCAGTATCACCAATAATGGGGAATATCTAATACAAAGTGTAGAGACAGACACACACGCACATCCGCACACGCGCGCGCGCGCACACACACACACACACACACACACACAGCGGGGTGGAGGAAAAAATACAACATTTAATACTGGCACTCAACAAAAACCACTGGTTCTCAATCCTTCTTGCACACTAAAAAACTATTTAGAGAAATCTGTGCTAATCAGCTCTCATCAATTAAACTGACAAATTAAATTAGAACCAGGATTTGAACAGGCATTTTTTTAAACTCTACTCCAAAGCTGCGAGCTCCTCCTTGCCATCTCCATCCTCTCCCTGCTCCCTGGCCCTCAGGAAGAAGCACCCGACACAGAAAGAAACGGAGCCATCTGCAGAGGTGGGGCAGACAAGTGCATCACCACTGAACAGTAAGTTATGGGAAGATGTTTAATGTGTTTGCATTTCTATTAAAATAGGTATGCTTCATTTATTCATTCATTCCCTGTAATTCTATATTATCACACTTCAAGACCAACTGCAGTCGAACCACTGTTACAAAATATACCAGTTGTAAGGAACAAACATCATTCATTCATGCATTTGTATTTACTGAATGCCTATAATGTGCAAGGCACTGTGTTACATGCTAATACAGAACCAAGTCATCAAAGAATAAACGGTGATCGCATGGAAGATTTGTTTTTTGTGTGCCCTTTTTGTCATATAATGACCATAAAATTAATTACATGGACCTAAACGAGGGACTAAACTGCCAAAAAAAAAAAAACCCACACACAAAAATGTGGGGGGCAGGGAAAAAAAACAAGAATACTAAGAGACCAATTTAAAAATACATAGTACAGCATATTTGCACTTTTCCTAATGTTCTGTACAAAACATCCAGGGGCCTTTGAATATACATAAGGCAAATTCGAAATAGAAAAATAAATTCTGTTCAAAGCAGAAAGCAGATGCTAATTTTAACCACATCCTGCATTAAGTCAAGTTTATATGTAAATACCCCAAATCTTTATGGAAAGGTAGTCAGCTTTTCTTTGTACAGTATTAACAAATAATTTTACACTAAAATCTTGCAGAATAGTCCTTAACTATTTCATCACGGAGAAAGTTTACACAGCGCAATTTTGAGAACAAATTTTTATGCTGTGAAATTCCCATGTGAACAAATTCAAGTTCTGTGTTTTATTTTTTTTTTTAATCTTTAAGAGGGAACGCAGAGAAGGGAAGAAAATGGAGGAAGAATCAGTTCAAACCTTACAAAAACACTAAAATGTAACCTAAAATGTGGGCTGCTTTTCTTCTGAAGAACATTATAAATTCCATGTGAATAAATATTTTTCTACTTACTACAGGTAGGAACCTTTCTGGTTACTTAAAAAATAAATAATAATTTCTTCTCATTTAATTATGAAAACAGGAAAGGTAGTCAGTTGAATACAAAAGGAGCTAAATATTCACACTCTTCTCCCTTCCCCCAAACCAAAAAACTGAAACCACACTAAGAAAGAATGGAAAGAATGGGGGGGGGCCCCCCCGCAAAGAAGAAGAAAAATATTGACCTAAAACTAACAGCAACGGTTGTGGTGGCAAAAACAATTTTGGGGATAAAAGTCCTCAGTTTTAGTAAAAGATGAAATCAACACTTAAGAAAAATGGCCATTCACATTATACCTTGTACACAATGTCTATAGAGAAATAGTAAAATATTTTACTAAGTTAAAATATAAGTTTTATATTTTATATCATATTGAATACACACATAAAAATACCAGTGTTTTTATCTTGTTTCTGTTCACTTAATTCGGTAAATGTATTCTTTGGTGCCTGAAATTTATGTGTATTTAGGGATAACAGAAGATAGGAACACCAAAAGTGACACGTCTAGAAACAGAAGCCTGGAAACCCAATTCCAGACATACAGAATCAAAGACGGACTTAGGACAAAGGAAAGGAAGTCAAGTCACACTGCAATGGAGCTGACACGTGATCCTTCTGCCAACTCACACCGAGCTCCCAAAATAAAAAGTAGTACAGCCCCGTGTTTTTAACCTGTGTTTTGAGATTTCCCAAGTGGAAAGATATCACAGATAGAAATGTATCATTCTAAGTTTTAAAATCACCAAAGTCAGGGAAGAGAATGTACATTCATTAACTGTATTCATTTATAAGGGAACGTCTGAATAAAGGCTGAACAATTCAACGAAACTGAAGGGTTATTCTTGATTTTTCCTCATTCCTTTGTAAATAGGATAAATGCAGATGTGGAGACTAACAGGCCAGCATTGTCATTCATTCAAAATACTCACATCCCTTTGCTTGCTTCTGGAAGTTCCAGACACTAAAATTTAACACCATTCATAACATAGTATTTTCAATTAAAGGAATTAATAAAGCAATAAAAAATCAGAAGTGAGATGGCTTAGAAAGCCTTATAATCTCTAAATATACACACATTTATATCCTGCATCTATTTTCTAAAGAAACAAGTTTTAAGTAATGCTAATATAACCAATGAGAAAAAACTTCTATCAAAATATACAATTTCAATTACAGACTAGAAGGCTAATATTAAAAAAATAGCTGTAAGCCAAAAGTTTGCTTATATGGATGATAAGCATCAAAGTCTAGAAGAGATGGGTGTGTGACCTTCTTCATTGGTCAGGCTCCTGATAAATTCATAAAGCTTGAGTCTCAGTCTTTGTATCAACGTATATCTGTGTTTCTTAATCCAGATTTCCAGAAAAGGGGAAACCAAATAATTCAGAATCTCAAGTGGGATTTATGCTTCACCATGTATCTGAAAAACAGATTACATTAGGTTATGATCATTGAAGTTTAGAATTTTCAGGATGTTATACACAAAATTAAGTTGACATTTCTCAACACAGAACAAAGCATTTTGCTTTCTGAAAAAAAGTGAAAAACTAATAATGGTGTAGAGCAAATGTTCTGATAACTTATATAATGTAGAAGCTTCTAGCCAGAATAAATGCTTTACTTTAATATACTCCAAAACCTATGAAATTGATGAGATTTGTATCCAAAAAGTAAGAGATTTTAAGCAGTACCACAAAGAAAACAACAGTTTCATTGGCACCATGACTATAGCTACTCTTAATTTTGACAATGACAAAACTATTGTAAATGGCTGTAATAACTCTATTTATACTAGTAATTACAATAGACTCAAAAACACAATTATATCATGAGCTTCCCAAATAGAGCCAGAGGCAGAGATCTCTTAGTACTGCTCAAACACACAGCAACCACTTCCCCCACGCTCCCCAGAGAGGAGGTTCACAAGAGACACATGATTCAACAAAACCAAAAAGTAAATGTCTCCTGGCTCAAAGCTTGGTCTCCTTTTCCATCAAGCAATTAGCCCTTTTTGTACTGATTTCCAAAGCTAATATATCAAAGAAATGTTGAATTTTGTACTGTAGATCAAACTACACAGGATTTGAAGCAGTGAACTGGGAAACAGGGTTCATAACTAACTGACAGTTAGATGAGAAGATCAGAACAATTACTACAATAAGCACAGGTAGGAATATTTGAGATCAAAATTACCTATCCAGTGTCTCCCAGAAGCGCAGGAAAACGGGTCTATCCAAATGACGTCTATGGTAGCTGAGTTCTAACACTGTCACATCCCATTTCTGAACATTTGGATCTAGACGGACTTCATCATACTTGAGATGGAAGGCTTTAACTAAATAGAAGGTAGAGAACAATACTTTATAAACAAGTATTGAAATTATGAAAATATTTTACAGCATAAAAAATTCAAGACATTAACCAAAAAACTAAAAGAGAGTAATTCCAGTCATAAATGACTTTTAAATAAATGGTAAACACTGCAATACCCTCAAAAACATTAAAAAAAATGGTTAGAGAGAATTTATACATACCATCTACAGAGAATTGAAATCACAAACTATCAGGTACAGCAAATAATAATAATAATAACCAAACACAGCACAAGAATACTAAGGTATGATATGAGTAAAAGGGAACTAAGAGCTTAAAAGATAAAATATTCTTCAGTTTCTCCCACAGAAAATAAGGGCAAAACTAACTGAAGACAAGAAACAGTTTGTGGGCCCGGCAGCGTGGCCTAGTGGCTAAAGTCCTCGCCTTGTACGCACTGGGATCCCACATGGGCGTCAGTTCTAATCCCGGCAGCCCCACTTCCCATCCAGCTCCCTGCTTGTGGCCTGGGAAAGCAGTCAAGGATGCACCCGTATGGGATACCCGGAAGAAGTTCCTGGATCCTGGCTTTGGATCAGCATAGCATCGGCCGTTGCACTCACTTGGTTGGGAAGTAAATCATCGGACGGAAGATCTTCCTCTCTGTCTCTCCTCTCTGTATATCTGACTTTCCAATAAATAAATAAATCTTTAAAAAAAAAAAAAAAGAAGCTGTGAATGAAGAGGAGTGACAATCAACTCTGTCAAGAACAGGGTGAAGTCTGAGGTACAGAGATATGACCTGGTAACTGACAAGAATCTCAAGACAGAGACACAGCTTTCAGAATGAGAAAACACAAATGGTAATTAGAATTAAAGGGGAAGACAACTGTGAACATGGAGTCATTAGTTACGTAAGAGGGAAGCAGTAAGGGAATTCAAGATGCAGTTGCTGAAAAAAAGCTTTATAAAGAAAAAATGAAGTATGAGCTGGCGCCAAGGCTCAATAGGTTAATCGTCCTATTGCCAGCACAATTTTAAATCCAGCTCCCTGCTTATGGTCCGGGAAAGCAATGGGGAATGCCTCAGGCCCCTGGGCCTAGGCAGCTGTGTAGGGAACCCTGAAGAAGGTCCTGGCTCCTGACAGCAGATTGGCTGAAATCCAGCCACTTGCAGCCATTTAGGGAGTGAACCAGCACACAGAAGATCTTTTGGCTCCCTCTTCAAAAGAAAAGGAAAAAGAAGAGAAGAGAAGAGAAGAGAAGAGAAGAGAAGAGAAGAGAAGAGAAGAGAAGAGAAGAGAAGAGAAGAGAAGAGAAGAGAAGAGAAGAGAAGAGAAGAGAAGAGAAGAGAAGAGAAGAGAAAAAAGAAAAGAAGGGTGAAAATTGTCTAATGATTGGGTCACTTTTTGTGGAGAGAATCCTTTTTGTGGAGAGTAAAAGACAGACTTCAGAGGACAGAGAACTGAAGAGAAAGTGAGTGAGAGGGAACAGTTCTGTCAAAGAGAGGAGCAGCCATGGGGAAGGGCAAGGCCAAGGCTAAGGTTCTGCTTTGGGAACACTTACAAGTGCTGACAAAAAACAAGCCAGAACAGAAGACAGGTTGATAAAGAAAGAATAATTCATGGAAGAAAACCACAGATTATTGTTAAAACTCTATAAATCCTGATTTCAGAAAACTAAAACTCCAAACAAAGTTTAAAAAATGATGATATTCGTTTAAGAGTTTAAAATTTTTTAAAGGTTTATTTTTATTGGAAAGTCAGACAGACAGAGGAGAAGAGAAAGAGAGGAAGATCATGCATTCGCGAATTCACTCTCTAAGAGGCTACAAAGGACAGAAGCAAGCCAATCTAAAGCCAGGAGCTAGGGGCTTCTTCCATGTCTCCCATGTGGGTGCAAGGTCTCAAGGCTTTGGGCGTCCTCAACTACTTTCCCGGGCGACAAGCAGGAAGCTTATTGGGAAGCTGGGCCGCCAGGATTAGAACAAGCGCCCATATTGGATCCTGGTGTATGCAAGGTGAAGACTTTGGCCAAATACCAGGGCACTTAGCCACGTGAAACAAACATTAATGGACTTAAAGGAAGAAATAGACTTCAATACAAAAATAGTGGGGGGCCCGGCGTGGTGGCACAGTGGTTAAGGTCCTCTCCTTGCACGCCCAGGAACCCATATGGGCGCCGGTTCTATCCCGGCAGCCCCGCTTCCCTTCCAGCTCCCTGCCTGTGGCCTGGGAAAGCAGTCGAGGACGGCCCAAAGCTTTGGGACCCTGCACCCACGTGGGAGACCCTGAAGAGGCTCCTGGCTTCGGACCGGCATAGCATCGGCCCATTGTGCTCACTTGGGCAGTGAATCATCGGGCGGAAGATCTTCCTCTCTGTCTCTCCTCTCTGTATATCCACCTTTCCAATAAATAAATAAAAGATATATTTTTTTAAAAAAGTGGGAGACCTTAATACCCCCACTAGCATCAATGGACAATCACAGACAGAAACTCAGCAAGGAAACAACAAATGAAACTTAACTGTTATCTACACAACCTTTCATCCTACAAACAGAAAACACATTTTTTTTCATCAGTAAATGGAACCTTCTCCAGAACTGACCATGTTATAGGCCACAAAACAAGCCTCAGCAAATTTTGAAAAATCAAAATTATACCATGCATCTTCTCAGGTCATCATGGAATGAAGCTGGAGACCAACAAGTCAACACACCCAGAAAGATTGCAAATACATGGGGACTGAGTAATATGCTACTAAATGAGCAATGGGTTAGAGAAAATCAAAGCAGAAATTTTAAAATTGCCTGAAATAAATGAAGGCATCAGCACAACGTATCAAAACTTATGTGACACAATCACGGCAGTGTGACAAGTTCATCTCAACCAACACCTATATTAAGGAATCAGAAAAGCACAAAGTGAAAGAACCAACCATACATTTGAAGGAGCTAGAAACAAAAGCAAAGCATTACCAAGATTAACAGGAAAAAAACAAATAATCAAAATAAGGGAAGAAATAGAGACCAAAAGAACAACACATAAAATCAATAAATCAAAGAGCTGATTCTTTAAAAAAAAAAACAACAAAACAGATTCCCCAGTAGCTCAACTAATCAAAAAACAGGAGGGAAAATACATGAATCAATAGGATCACAGACAAAAAAAGGAAATATAACAACAGACACCTCAGACTTCAAAAGCATTATTATTAGGAACTATTACAAGTAGTATATGGCAACAAATCAAAAGACCTAGAAGAAACGGATAGATTTGTACCCACATACAATCTACCAAAATTAAATCATGAGGCAATTCACAATCTAAACAAACCTATAACAAGAACTGAAATTAAATCAGTAATCAAGTCCTTTTATGAAAAAAAGCCCTGAACCAGATGGCTTCACTGCTGAATTCTACCAAATGTTTTAAGAACTTACTCCAATTCTCCAAAAGCTGTCCAAAACAATACAAAGAGGGGCAATCCTTGCAAATTCTATGAAGTCAATATCACCTTAAAACTAAACCCAGAAAGAGATAAAGAAAACCACAGATAGATATCCCTGATGAACATGGATACAAAGATCCCCAACAAAATACAAGCCAACAGAATCCAACAAAACATCAGGCAGATCATTCACCCAGAGAAACAGAATTTATCCCTGGCATGCAAGATGGTTTAACATTTACAAATCAATAGAGCCCAACCGACATGGCCTAGCACCTAAAGTCCTCACCTTGCACATGCCAGGATCCCATATGGGCACCGATTCTAATCCCAGCAACTCTGCTTCCCATCCAGTTCTCTGCTTGTGGCCTAGGAAAGCAGTTGAGGACGGCCCAAACCCTTGGGACCCTGCAACTGCATCGGAGACCTGGAAGAGGATCTGGGCTCCTGGCTTTGGATCTGCGCAGCACCGGCCAATGCGCTCACTTGGGGAGTGAATCAGAGGATGGAAGATCTTCCTCTCTGTCTCTCCTGCTCTCTGTATAAGTGACTTTGTAACAAAAATAAATAAATCTTAAAAAAAAATTGCAAATCAATAAATGTGATTTACTAGTCGGCAAACTGAAAAACAAAAACCACATGATCATCTGAACAGATGCAAAGAAGTCATTTTCAAAAATCCAATACCATTTCATGTTAAAATCGTTAAGCAAGACTGGCATGGAAGGAACACTCTACAACACAATCAAAGCAATATACAAAAAACCCAACACGAGCATCACACAATTTGGAAGCTTTTCCACGAAGAGCTGGTGCGGCATGAGGATGTCCATTCAGACTGCCCTTCAGTACTGAATCTGACGTCCTTGCCAGAGCTATTAGGCAAGAAAAGGAAACTAAACAAATTCAAATTGGAACTAAGGAATTAAAATTATCCCTACGTGCAGCTAACATAATTCTCTACATAAGAGAACCAAAAAAATCAAGAGAGTACTGGAATTCTTAAGAGAATGTGGGAGGGTAGCAGGATACAAAATTAACAAACATAAATCAATGGCACTAGTGTACACAAACAACTCCATGGCTGAGAAAGAAATTTAAGTACAGTCTCCTTTCAAATAGTGGAGAAGAATCTCAAATGCCTATCCAAAGCTGTGGAAGAAATCTATGATAAAAATTTTAAAATACTAGAAGAAAAATAGAGGAAAACATTAAAAGAGAGATTTAATATGTTTCTTCATCAGCAGGGTCAGCATCCACAAAATGTCCCTAATAACAAAGTCATGCACAGATTCAACGCAATCGCAATCAAAATCCCAACAACATTCTTCTCAGAAATAGAAAAGATGATACAAAAGTTCATCTGGAAACACAAGAAACTACGAACCACCTAAGCCATCCTGAAGCATGAAAACCAAGCTCAAGGAATCACAATTCCAGACTTCAACACATACTACAGAGCAATGGTTTTCAAAACAGTCTGGTCCTGGTACAGAAACAAGAAGATCAATGGAATGGAACAGAAACACCAGAATGGAGCCCACACACGTGCAGCCAATCAACTGATCTTCAAAAAGAGAACTTAAAATAATCCAGGGGAAAAAACCCTGGTCTGTTCCACAAACAACACTCGGACAACTGGATAGCAGTCTGCAAACGAAGAAGCAGGACTCCAACCTGTCACATCATACAAAAATAGGTTCTAAATGGATCAAGAAACTGCACCCAGAAATCTAGAAAAGAGACTCTTACAGGAAAATATAGGAAGTACTCTCCAAGATGTAGCAATGGGGAAAGACTTCTTAGAAATGACACCAAAAGACAGCCAAAGACAAAGGAAACAAATGGGACAACATCAAACTAAAAAGTTTCTGTATGCCAAAGGAAAGGATCAACAAAGTGAAGAAGCAACCAACAGAACGGGAGATAGCCTGCACAGACACAACTGAGAGGGGACTAATAACCAGGATTCTCAAAGAGATTAAGAAACTAAACAGCCAACCAACCAGCCCTGTGAAGAAATGGGTGAAGGAAATGAACAGACATTTTTCAAAAGAGCAAATTCAAATGGCTAACAGACACAAGAAAAAATGTTTAGGCTCCCTAGCTGTTAGTGAAATACAAATGAAAACTACATTGAGAGGCCTGGTGCAACAGTGTAGTGGTTAAAGTCCTCACCCAGCAAGCACCAGGATCCAATATGGTCGCTGGTTCTAATCCTGGCAGACCTGCTTCCCATCAAGCTTCCTGCTTGTGGCCTGGGAAAGCAGCCGAGGAGAGCCCAAAGCCTTGGGACCCTGCACATACATGGGAGACCTGGAAGAGCTCCTGGCTCCTGGCTTTGGATTGACTCAGCCAGACGTTGTGGTTACTTGGGGAGTGAATCAGAGGATGGAAGATCTTCTTCTCTGTCTCTCCTCCTCTCTGTATATCCGCCTTTCCAATAAAAATAAATAAATCTTAAAAAAAAAAAAAAACTACATTGAGGTACCACCTAACTCCTATGAGATTGACCTACATTCTGAACTAACATCTGTTGCAGTATACACAGGAAGAAAGGTAACTTTCTTTACTTTTGGTGGTATAGACTAGTAAAGCCACTGAGTCAGTAAACAAGCCGGATGCCTATCCAAAGAGGAGTGGATAAAGAAACTGTGGTACATCTACTCCATGGGATAACTCAGCCATTAAAAAGAATGAAATTCTACCATTTGCAACCAAATGATCCCAAATACAGACCATTATCTCAGTGAAATAAATCAATCTCAATAGGACAAATATCATGTATTCTAAGGCAGCTTTCACACAAAACATCACTAGACTTTTCAGTACTGTTTGGTACATTTATGGAGGGTTGATTCTCTTTTTCATTTCTTCAAAACAATTCTTTTTTCTTATTCCTTCCTTCACTGACTCACAGGTCTTACAGTAGTGTCATTTGTTTCAAGATTTTTGATTTTCTTTTTTCACTGCTTCAGCAACACACTGGTCATTCAGTAGCATGTTATTTAACTTCAAATTGGTGTAAATTTCGTATTTTCCTCCCTATTTTTTTTAATGTTTCTCATTTAATGGAATGTATACTAACTACATAATAGGGATTGTCATATCCAGATGCGAAGATACCATGCAGCGTGCATCTCTACTTCCAAATCACAGGGACTCCCAATGAAACTGTGAAATGTGTCTTGTCAATAGGATGCTGGACTCTCTGCCATTGTTCACACCTAGAATGTCAGGACAAACTTAAAGACTAGAATGACCAAGTGTTTATGTAGGACTATGCTACTGTAGTAATATGGGGGGAAGTTGGAACAGTGGTGAGGGAGGGGGGGAAAGGAAAATCCCAGAACTTATGGAACTGTATCATAAAATAATAAATATAAAACCCACAAGGAATATTAATTTTCAAAATTTTAAAACTATTTTATAGCAAAAAAAAAAGTTAAACCTGTTACTGAACAGCAATCTTTTAAAATAAATATCACATATGCAGAGTCATGTATGGGTTTCTCGTAAACCAAGAACATTTCTAATAGTGGATATATATCAATAGAAAGAAAATCTTACTTTTGGCAAATATGTCAACTGGTGATCCATCAGGCAAAAGCCACGGCCAACCTTTAAACTGCCAAGCAGGACCTTGCACAAAAACTGCCACAACCCGGTCCCTGCATGCAGAAAAGGGGAATAAAAGGGACAGAGGAAAGATATTCAAACTTGAGTGTTATAGAAAATCCATAAGGAAATGGCTCATGAACAGTCAAGCAATGGTTTCCGACCAATCCTCCTGGGAGGGAAACAAAGCCAGTACATGCACTTTCCACTAGGACAGTCCTGCTTAGAGCACATTAATGACTCCCAAGCATTTGTTTTTGCACTTACGTCTTCTAAATATAATTATATATACAGTTATTCACTGATCTAGTTTTTCTTCTTCCCCTCCACTGAGAACAGCTATTCTTCTATTAACTGATGAAAAAAAAAACGGTTTTACAAAAGAATAATTTAAAATTCAAACACATCTTAAATATTTTACTTTAATTAGAACATTAAATCACAGTAACTCACTGACCATTTTATAAGCCTTGAGGTGAGGGCCTTATGTTTGAGATCTTTTATATACGAATCATCTAGGCTTTCATAATTTCTCAAGTCATTTTACAACAGTGTTTCACTCTAAATTCTCTAGGTTTGTATCTTCTGTTTGATTTTATTTCTTTATTAAATAACTTGCTCTTATAACCATACACCCTACTTATGAAATAACAAATCCTTTTTGTGTCCTCATCTTTCATGACTTTGTACAACCATCAATTAAACAGAGACACTGAAAAGATTGTAATAAAGAGCTCAACCCTATAATCAAAAAGGAGGGAAGCAAGTACCAACAGTAATACTTTACACTAGTAACACTTACTGTGAGCACTTACTACTGCAGCATTCTACATTATTTATATTTACACATCATCTTCAAATCAATCCAGTGAGGTGACTACTATATAACTACGCTTGCTAGATGAGGAAACACATGGGTATACTAGAGAACACTACACACATGAGAAGGAAGTAAGAAGTGGAAGGGAAAAGGGGAAGAGAAGCAAGAGGAAGGGAAGAAAGAAATGAGCATTCATTACTATTCCTGGACACCAGAAATGATCCTGCTCTTGAATGACAAGTAAAAAAATCTCAGAGCGGCCATCTTACTCTACCACAACAATAACTTTTACCAGGAAACTCCCTGAAATGCTGGGATTGCCCAGAGCCCTGCAAGCCACGTTCTGATAAGCAGGGTTATCTTTTATTCAAGTACAAGATGTAAAGCAAAGATCAAAGTTAGCATAAAAGGAGTATGAGTTTAAAATTCTTAAGCTACTTATGACTAATATAATAATCTATTTAAGAATAACTCTTCGTCCGAAGGTTAAACACTATGCAAGGCATGCAGCTGGGTGCCTGCCGCCCAGTTCTGGCCACGTTCCGTCCCAGCTTCTGCAAACATCAAAGTACTTCAGTTAACTACCTAGTCCTCAATTTCTCAAATAATTACCCCCCCCCTTACACAGCCTAAACGCTTCCAAACACCAACACCACAGTAATGCAGCAAGCTGTTAGTAACCCTGGGATTTTACAGTATACCTTCTATGATTTAAAAGGTAAAAGCTTAGAGTGTCTGAAAAACTAAAAAGAATTTGCTAGGTAATGGTCATCTAGCTCCGAGCGGAGCCTTGTAACTGTCAAAGGAGAATAACAGGGTTGGTGTCAAATTCTCTAAGAGATTAATTAAAAAGAAAGAAAAAGGCAAAGGAAATATGGTTTCTAGGCTATATGACACCAACAGCTAGAAACCCAAGGCAATGTGCATCAGCGACATCGATGGAGTCCCAGGTTCCTGCCACAGACACCGTCCAGCCCTGGCTGGTGCAGCCACCTGGGTAGCAAAGGAGTGCACACAGCATCTGTCCCACTCACTCTACTTTTCAAATGAATAAATAAATCTTTAAAAAAAAATTTTTTTTAAAGCTATACCAAGGGCCCAGCATGGCTGCGTAGTGGCTAAAGTCCTTGCTTTGCACTCGCAAGGTTCCCACTGGGGCATCAGTTTTAATCTCGACTACCCTGCTTCCCATCCAGCTCCCTGCTTGTGACCTAGTAAAGCAGTCGAGAACGGCCCAAAGCCTTGGGACGCTGCACCCGCGTGGGAGACCCGGAAGAGGCTCCTGGCTTCGGATCACCTCAGCTTCAGCTGTTGCGACCACTTCAGAAGTAAAACTGTGGACAGAAGAGGATATTCCTCCCTTTGTCTCTCCTCCTCTCTGTATATCTGATGTTCCAATTAAAATAAATAAATCTTTTGTAAAAATAGCTACACTGAGATCAAAGAACCATATTAATTTTTAATAAATTATTTCATTGTAACTGAAGTTACTATGTCATCACTATAATTTCTTAACAGAAAACCTGAATTCTAATTTTTTAAAAATCTGCAGGCTACCTGTTCTAATAGCTTATTTAGGGAAAAAAAGCAAGTGGAAGTAACTTCTTAATCTAAGTTCCCCAGAAGTTATAGCACTGCTTCTTTTAAGTAAAATAAAATGTAGGTATTACAAGAATTTTAACAACAGTGATAGCCAAATTAGATTCATATACGTTAATACATTAAATTCATACACATTAAATTCATATTCATTAACAAATACATTAATATTTCAAGATATTTTCTATTTAGAACCCACGATAAAATGATACTTCCTTAAAACATCAAAAGTAAAAAAAAAAAAAATTTAAATGTAGAAGTCAAAGCCATCTTACCAATCTTGAGGCATAAGTTTAAGGGGCTGATCCACCACCCTATAAGGTACTGTGACACTGATTGCGGTGCCACCTGGTTGCATTTGATCTTTTCTTCTCTGAATGAGAGTTTCATTTTCTCGTTGACAACCCTGTTTCTTCTTTTCATCTGATGGGACAAATCTGAAAATACGTAGATGAGACAAAGTCAAATGTATCCAACATGGTGAAGATGGGAAACCACACTCTGAGTATCTTCAAAAACAACAATTTCCAAAAAAAAAAAAAAGTGTTCATTTCAGAATAAACCTGCTCTGCATGTATACCATATTGCTTGAATTTGGGCCTTCCTCTGTATGCCAAAGGGGACTCAAGTGTACTTCGGCCATAAATGGTATCTGTGTGTGTAGACGACAGAAATGCACTCACTCAACTAGTTCGTAACATTCTGCAAACAAAACCTTGATTTCTCAAGTGTTATTCAGGTAAAATTTTGTGATAAAGGGAAACTTGCAAATTCACAAGTAACACAAACATTAGACACTAGCTAATAAATCAGATGAGACTGTACATTTGACTAGGTGTGTTCAGAAAAGACTGTGGCCAGCAAAGCTTCTTCTTAGAGTGGCAAATTAGCTTTTTTCACATCAGAAATATGCCACAAAACTCCACAGTTGCTGTAAGGAGTTGTAACATGGGGAGAAAAACGTGCCAATTTTCAGCTTCTTAGCTGTCTCCCCCGTCCCGCCCCCACACCCTAAACCAATGCACTACTGGGTATCTATCAGCTTTGTCTATGTGGTTCAATTCTCCACTGCGTCCACAACAGTCAGTCTCAAAAGTAACGGTAGATTCTGAAGAAATCTAGGCTTTGCAAGAATTTGCAGATAGAAAGAAAAGAGGGATAATGAGGCGAACAGCAGTAATGACTAAATTGTGAAGGACAAGACTCCGAACCAACAGAGATCAACAGTTCACAGATTTAATCCTAACACATCAGAAACAGGATTTGTAAAAAGCATAGAACAAATGTAAAATGACCTTTCTTGAAAGTAATCACACGCGTCCAATTTGCTTCACACACTGTCACTCTAACAGCAAACTCCTCAGCATCAACAAAGGACTCTGTAACTGTGCAGTGATAGCATCAGTTTGATGAGAAGGACATAAGCTCCTATGCTGCTTCCCAGAGTGGGACATCTTTTTGCAAGGCCTGGGACTGCTATGAGGGAGAATTCTGTGGGGGAGGGGCAGATGAGCTCCAGCAATGGACCTGCAGGCCTTCCTTCCTGGTGCTGTGTCACAGGACTCGGGTGGCTGACCACCCGGAGCATGCTGCACAGCACCTGCTGAACATCCATCCCTTCCATGGTACTCCCTCCCTCCCCAGTCTTCACCTGCCACACTTCGTACAGAATTTCTGTCAAGTTGCCATCCCACGAGAATCAGAAGCTGCACCCAATCAGTGCATTTTAAATTATTTACCAGTCTCGCTAAACTTCTGTCAAAATCATACTTTTTCATTTAAAATGTTTTTTCTTTTTAATTATTATTAATTACATTGCATTATGTGACACAGCTTCATAGGCTCTGGGATTCCCCAAACCCCTCCCAGTGCCCTCCCCCCATGGTGGATTCCTCCACCTTGTTGCAGTATTACAGTTCAAATTCAGTCAAGATTCTTTCTTTGTGAACATATACCAAGCATAGAGTCCAGCATCTTATTGTCCAGATAAATTCAACAGCATCTTGGGGAGACCATCTCTGGTCTGAACGTAGATCTGGCAGAATATCATCCCGATCAATTAAAAGCCACAACACAACATCAACAACAATTTACAACATTATGGAATTAATTGACATGTTATTGAGTAACCAATATGTTTTTTAAAAAATGCAAGTTCTTAACCACATCCTGTGACTACTTCATTGACATTTCAATTTTAGTTTATATACAGAACAGGCTGCTATATACCTTAAAATGGCTATAGGGTACTATTCAGTTGCCTCGTGTCTATTTTCATTTTAATATTTAGCACTTTATAGTGTTGAAGCATAATTTTGCTGAACTTGGCAGATTTTAGGATAGTCTAAACTGGGTTATACTCTAACAAGGCATATGTCAACAGGTGAGGTGCAGAACAGTTTTAGGAGGGGTGTGCAGAGAAATCCTCAATACTCCAGTGAGGAGCAACTGATCTCTGTGTCCCACCTAGTAAAGTCTATGTGAATCCACGCTGGCCATTTCCTCTCTGGTTCTAAGCTTTCCTTGTTGTTCTCTATCTATTCTAAATTTTTTCTCCTTTTGGGGGGTGGGGGGCTCCGCTTTGACCCTGATGGTCTTCTTATAACTTTCATAATATAACCTTCATTTTGCTAAAAGTTAAGCTGGGCTTCATCTTGTTCTATTTCACTTATTGAAGAAGGGCTACAAAACTGAAGAATCCTCAACTCTACATAAAATGAAACAGAATCCATGCCAACTTGAACCATGGGTTACAGCCAGAACCATAATTGTGTGGAGGAGGTTTCAATTATGCATTAATTACCCAGCAAAGCCTCCAGCTGACTCAAACAGCAGGGGAGACGTCAGCTCCAATGAGGTGTTAAACAATGAAGGGAGTCCTTTAAGCTCTAAAGGGAAAGACAGACATGGTCTATCCTAAAAATGCGGTCCAGCTATATAATCTCTTCTCACTTTGACAACTGTAATATGTTCAGACGAACACTGCAAAGGTTCTGGAGAATTAAGAATTGAAAATAGAACTTCTCTTCTGATCTTTCCAAACTTACTGTTAATATTTAGTAATCAGTCAAGTATGCTTTTAAAACTATAAAGTTCTCAGTTACTAAAAATTGAGAAACAAATCCCAAATTTTAAAATCATACAAATGTGTTTGAAAGAACCCTGATGATACCTAATCCAAATATCGAAGTGTAAAAATTCAGCATCAAGTACAACGAAGTCCCACAGAGCTACACTCCATGTCCACAAATGACCACTCTACATAAAAGTCTTTAAATCAGAGGGAAACACACTAAATCATAGGCTATATTCAACACAGCCCAAATTTTAAATTTCAGATACAGAATTTCTTCATTCCATTCTCCGATTTTAACATAATGTCTGCTTTATTCTTTTTCTCATCCCTCTATTTAATACCATTAGACAAATATTTTTAGCAATGCAGCAACAATCACCATTAAGGTTACAAACCATCATCTTTGTAGAATTCACAAATATAATTCAAAAAACTATCAGCAGACTGGAAAACAAAGAAGCCACCCCCAGCCAAAGCGCACAAACAAGATGTATATCAGGTCGTACATGTCATAAACAGTAGTAAAGTACTTCTGTTTCCTGAACACAGGGTAGACAGGAGAAACGTGAAGGTACCCACAAAGACTAAACATTGTGAAGTGGCCAGAGTGATCCACAGCTGCCTACATCTCACAGTTTCAGGTATACTATTTCATGAGCTAGATCGCAGATGGACTGTTTTTTCCCAAGATGCATTTATTTTTATTGGAAAGATTTACAGACAGAAGGACTGACAGATGAAGACCTCCCATCCACTAGCTCACTCCACAAACGGCCACAGCAGCTGGAGTAGAACGAGCTGAAACCAGGAACCTGGAGCTTCTTCTGGATCTCCCACATGTGGGTGCAGAGTCCCAAGGCTGTGGGACATCCCTGACTGCTTCCACAGGCCACGTGCAGGGAGCTGGATGGAATGTGGAACAGCCAGGATACAAACTGGCACTAGCCTGGGTTGCCAGGCCTTGAAGGCAGAGGATTAGCAAAGTGAGCCATCGCACAAGCAACCAAATAGATTTCTTATTCACCCAATTGTGTATTATGCCATTAGGTAGCACTTTCACGCAAAAGACCAACATCTGCCAGGATATAAATACTCTCATTGGAAACAGTTATTTAAAACTGTCATGTGAAACTTAATATACGGTATATGCAGGGCTACCTAGCTTTTCTTTGAAAGGCCATTTAGAGTGATGCACTAAAATTTAATTCTGCACTTGATAACACCTAAAAATCAACCAAGTACTACAACTACTTTTGCTTTCATTTTTAACCAACCTTATTTCAAAGCAGTATGGTTACTTCCCAGAGACGAGCTTGTTTTTAGCTTCTTCCTTATAAAGCACACAGTCACTCTACTGAAAACAAGCCACTGCTATGACATTCTTCCTTCTAGGTGTTAATTGCGTCACTCAATAAAGGTGTCTTCCTAATGGCCAGTAAAAAATCTTTGATATTAGAAAATTCAGCCTATAAAACAATACAGTTAACCTAACAGAACTTAGACATTGGATTCTGCAGAGCAGTTATGACTCTTGATAGTGAGCATCACATTCATGAAGGTCAAAAAAATACCCAATCTCTTGACCGACAAATGTTGGGTTCCCACACTGTCCAAAAGGTTACCCCACTGAACTGGTCATTTCTATTTCCTGCCCTCCACCCTACCAGCTGACCTGAAACAAAAGGGACTTTCTTTAATCTCTTAACTAGATGAGTTTTATTTCCCTTTTTGGTCTCAAACTGTAAAAACAAACAAAAAAACCTGCAAAAACAAATACCTGGACCCAGCACAGTAGCCTAATGCCTAAAGTCCTCGCCTTGAATGAGTCAGGATCCCATATGGGCGCCGGTTCTAATCCCACCAGCCCCGCTTCCCATCCAGCTCCCTGCTTGTGGCCTGGGAAAGCAGTCGAGGACGGCCCAAAGCCTTGGGACCCTGCACCCGTGTGGGAGACCCAGAAGCTTTTGATTTTGCAATAAAAATACATGAATCTTTTAAAAAAAAAAACCAAAAAACAAAAAACAAATAAATACAAAAAAGTTTCACATATTTCTTTGGATTACTAAAAAAAAAAATCACTACACATATTTTCTGTCAGCAAGTTAAAGGTTTAATTGATGATAACTTATGAGGTCTAATTTGAGTCAAAATTATCTTTAAAATGTGATTCAACGTTTGCAGTGTCAGGACAATGTTTTAGAGTTCTTTGAACAATAAGCCATTGAGAGTCTTACAAGTAAGTGCTGGAATAAATTATTTCATCAGTTGCAATTACTGGCCAACACCAACACCATTAACTCACCAACACCATTATCTTACAGGGCGGAGCTTATGGTTTTATTTATCCACTTGGCAGTTTGCTTTGTCATTACCATTCTGCAAGTTGAACAAATTGAATACTGCCAATGGTCTCCCTAAATTCAGTTACATCTCACAGATGAGATACTAGCATGACTGATTAAAGATTCAAATTCATTACACCAAAGCTAAAAAATTTCTTTGGAACTAAATAGGGAAATATTTTATGAAATATTCTGTATATTTAGTTGTGTACAGGTACAACTCAACACAATGAACAAGCATAAATTAAGAAATTTTCTGGTGGTTGGCACTCTAGTGCAGTAGGGAAGGCCTCCTGGGACACTAGTAACCTCATTGAGTGTGTTGTGTCCTGGCTGCTTCACTTCCTCTCCAGCTCCCTATTAACGGCCTGGGAAAAGCAGCAGAGAATGCCCCAAGTGCTTAGGCACCTGCCACCCATAGATGTGGATGAAGCTCCTCGCTTGTGGCCACTGGGTTTGGCCTGGACAAGCCCCAGTCAATGTGGCTTCTGAGGAATCAATCAGGGATGCAATATCTCTCTCTCTCTTTGACTCTCCCCTCTCCATTTCAACAAACAAAACCCAAAACTTTGTTCTCCCAAATAAGCAGTATTAATCATTAACAATTTCCTCTCAATGGTATCTCAACATTCTCTCAAATATTTTTGCCAATTACTTACTTTAAATCCTGTAGAAGGTCTTTCGCGTTAAGCATGGTTATTAAAGAAGTGGTAGCTGCGGGAATTATGATAATGGGTGTTCGAGAACCTGTAACGACAATTTTTTAATGGTATAAAACACACTACTACTATAAATTGTAGCTACATTTTCCCTGTTGAAAGTTGAACATTTATAAATTTGTATCATTAGCTTCCTTCTGAGCTAAGAAAAATTTATCTTAAGCCACTGTGCTATTAAAAAGTCAATAACATTATGCCAGGAGTATTGATTAATCAGAGTGGATATCAAATACAAATATGTCATGCTAAACAAGCAGAACCCCAGCTCCAGCTGCTGTCACCTAGCTCATATGGAATTACTTGTTAAAGTGACTTTCCAATCATAAGCACAACCTCACCTTTCTTCTGATTTGGGGGGGGTCTTGCTTGGGAAACTGTGAGAGAAGAAAAAACAAGCACAACTGTTAAAAAGAATTCTATACTTGTAAAATTATAAAGCCAGATAAAATTATTTGTATTCCCATGGCTAAATATTAAATTCACAAAATACATACTGTAATCTCCTCAATTAATAATGTCTTTCTCTGCTTCAAAAAGTATTGAACTGTGTGAGCATTATTTAACAATCTGTAACCACAAAGAAAACATTACATTGTCAGGCACCAAGTGTCTACTTTTGTGGATTTTAGGGCTAGCAAGCAAAAATATGCATATATATAACCCCACAAACCCTCGCAGACCTAAACATAAAAAGAGGGCACTGCGTAGCCCTTGACGCTGTGGGAGGGGGCAGGTGCAAGTGCTAATAACCATACTGACACAGAGACAGGAAAGAGCAAGGATGCACAATGTTTCACACAATTTTTTCTTTCACAAATTTTTTTTTTTTATTCGCACAGGAAGGGGATGGTCTTGGGCACAGCACATAAAGCTGCCTCTGATGCAGCCAAATGTCCTCATTCAAGGACCTGCATGTGATACCAGCCAATGCTTGAGTACCAACTGCTCTGCTGCAAACCCAACCAGGAGCTAAGGCAAATGGGACAGTACTGGAAAGTCCTTGGGTCCTGCCCCCTGTGGGAGCCCTGGGTGCAGTCCCCAGCCACCAGCTTTGGCCAACCATACTGCAGCCATTTGTGAGCACAAATATTCATGTCTTCTTTTTTCTATGTATGTACAATGCTTTATTGCAGAAACATGATGTCATAATGCTAACAATGTAAATCAAGGTAAATTTTAGACTGGAAAGGGCATCATGTTTAATTTTTAGTATTTATTAGAAAGATAAATGCTATATCAATAGGCTTCATTGTGCATACGCTGTGCTGGAGCTATCTTTGTTTTTAAAATCATAAAAATAAACACAAATTTATAAGATCAGAAATTGTAATTCAACATTGGTTCTTAAAGACAATTCCTTAAAAAGCAATCACACAGCATACATTGTTACAATATGAACAATCTTAAAGGGTAGTAAAAAAGATTATTATTCTGAAAGTCTTCTGACAAAGAAGGGGGAGAAGAGCAGGGCAGCGGAGGAGGAAGGGAAAGAGGAAGGCAGGAAATGAATCTACTGGATCAATCTCCGCGTGGCCACGTGGTCAGGGTTGAGCCAGACCACAGCCAACTCAGGAGCTTCCTCCCAGGCTCCTTTTCTGCTTTTCCCAGGCCTTTAGCAGGAATCTGGATCAGAAGTGGAGAAGCAGGACATGAGCTGCTGCACATACGGGACGGCACTGCTGCAGTTGATTGATGCAGGCTTTACTGTTATGCTACAATGTCAGTCCCAAAATACAAATCCCAAATAATTCTTAGAATCCCTTATACAGCTATCTTACTGTCATAAAATATTACAGTTAGGACATTTCTAGCCAAATAAACCATAGAACCACATTCACAAATACAAGTTTAAACATATTTATCTTTCTTCTTGATAAAAATATTTAATTTTCTTAAATCATCTTTAGATGTATTTATTTTATTTGATTTGATTTCAAATAAAACATTTTCTTTAGAGAATCAATGCAGAAGACACCCTATTAAGTTACCGCAAAATCAGAGAGAGAGAATCTCTGCTCACAAGGAACCTTCCTGGTGGAATAGGGAAACGAGAGCATAAAGAAGTGTGCGTGCATACACCAGCTCCACATGCATATACAAACATGACACAAACTAAGGAAAACAGGAGCACACACTGGCAGGAGAGGGTCCTTTAGATGGGATGCTCAGAGAAAGCGGCATTTAAACAGAATTCCAGAGGATGCTAAAAGCCCCCTGTGAAGAGCAAGTACCTGAGCAGCCCAGATGACAGGTGATAGTAGGTAACCATCGCAGGAAGGGAGCAGCTCTCTGCTCAGAGAACAAGCAAAGCGAGTATGCACGCCACACACAGCAGGCGCCAGCACAACTGCGCAGCCATGCGGTGCGGGCATACTGTAAGGGCGCCAGGTCATGTCCCAGCTTTTCCACTTCCCTCCCAGCTCTCTGCTTATGGCTGGGAACGCAACAGAGGATGGCCCAGTTCCTGGGAGGACCTGCACCCATTTGCACCTAGCTTCGGATTAGCTCAGTTCCGGCCACTGCAGCCAAATGAGGAGTGAACCAGCAGATGGAAGACCTATCTGACCCTTCTTCCTGTGTAAAATCGACCTCTGAAATAAAAATAAATAAAACTTGAAAAGAGAAAAAGGGAGGAAAAAAAGGAGCCAAACCATATAGAGCCTTCGTGAAATGTGAGCTTTGTTAAAGTGCTACCCTACCAGTCCATCCTAAAACTACTAAGCCAAAAAGTGACATGACTGTCTGGTAGTGGTACAGAAACAGAGATCAGTGGAACAGAATGGGAACACCAGAAGAGAGCCCACACATGGACTGTCAACTCATCTTTGACAAGAAAAGTGAAAACAATCCAGGCAAAAATCCTACTCAACAAATGCTGTTGGGACAAGGATAGCAGCGTGCAAAATTACTAAGTAAGACCCACACCTGTCACATTATATGAAAATTAGCTCTAAATGGGCCAAGGACCTTAATCTACTCTCAGAAACCATCAAACTATTAAAAGAAAAACATAGGAAGCACACTCCAAGATATAGGAACAGGTAAAGACTTCTTAGAAAAGACGCCAAAAGCAAAGGCAATCAAATCCAAAATGAACAAACGGGACTACATCAAACTAAAAAGCTTCTGTATAGCAAAGGAAATAATTAACAAAGTAAAGCAACCAACAGGATGACAGAAAATTTTTACACACTACACAAGTGATAGGGGACTAATATCAAGGATTTATAAATAGCTTCAAAAACCCAGGGACAGCAATAATAATAATAATAATAATAATAATAATAATAATACTAACCCTGTAACAAAATGGGCAAAAGAAATGAACAGACATTTTTCAAAAGAACAGATTCAAAAGTCTAACAGACACATGAAAAGAGGCTCAGGCTCCCTAGCTATCAGAGAGATACAAATGAAAAAACACGTTGAGGTACCACCTAACTCCAGTGAGACTGGCCTACATCCAGGACTCAACTAACAACACCTGCTGGCGTGGATGTGGGGAGAAAGGCACCCTCCTTCACTGCTGGTGGGAGTGTAGGCTAGTACAACCACTGAGGAAATCAGTATGGAGTGTGCTTGGAAAATTGCAAATGAACCTGCGATATGACCCAGCTATCCCGCTCCTAGGAATATACCCAATAGAAGAGAAATCTGCATGTGAGAAGGGGATCTGTAATCCTATATATTTTTTTAAAGATTTATTTTTATTATTTTTTTATTGGAAAGGCGGATATACAGAGAGGAGAGACAGAGAGGAAGATCTTCCATCCGATGATTCACTCCCCAAGTGAGCACAACGGGCCGATGCTATGCCAATCCGAAGCCAGGAGCCTCTTCCAGGTCTCCCGCACGGGTGCAGGGTCCCAAAGCTTTGGGCCGTCCTCGACTGCTTTCCCAGGCCACAGGCAGGGAGCTGGAAGGGAAGTGGAGCTGCCGGGATAGAACCGGCGCCCATATGGGATCCCAGGCACTCAAGGCGAGGAGCTTAACCACTTGCGCCACCGCGCCGGGTCCTGTAATCCTATATTTGCAGCAGCACAACCTACAATGGCAAAGACATGGAAACAATCCAGATGTGCGTCCAAGGAAGAGTGGTTAAGGAAACTTTGGTATATCTACTCCAGGGAATATTATTCAGTTATTAAGAAGAATGAAACTATTCTATTTACAAACAGGGGTCCCAACTAGAGACCATTATGCTCAGTGAAATGAGTCAATCACTAAAGAACAAATACCATATGTTCTCTCATATATAAGGAAATCAACATGGAAAGTGTAACTTCAATAATTCAATCCACACTGTTTGTTTGCTTGTTTGCTTTTCTGGCTGTATCCCATGTGTTTTGATGGGGTTTTTTTGTTTCAGTTTGGTTCATTCCAAATAATTTCTTTTCTCGGGCCCGGTGCGATGGCACGGTGGTTAAGGTCCTTGCCTTGCACACCCGGGACCTCATATGGGCACCGATTCTAATCCCGGCAGCTCCACTTCCCATCCAGCTCCCTGCTTATGGCCCAGGAAGGCAGTCGAGGACAGCCTAAAGCTTTGGGACCCTGCACCCGCGTGGGAGACCCGGAAGAGGCTCCTGGCTTCGGATTGGCATAGCATCGGCCGTTGCGCTCACATAGGGAGTGAATCAGTGAATGGAAGATCTTCCTCTCTGTCTCTCCTCTCTGTATATCTGCCTTTCCAATGAAAAAAAGAAAAAAATTCTTTTCTCTTGTCGAATTTATCACAGGCTCATGGATTACATGGTAGCATCATTTTTCCCAAGAGACATTTGTGTTTCCTTTTTGTCACCCACGTGTTGGTTACTCAGTAGCACGTTTTTTTCATGGTACTGTAATTTGTTGTTGATGTTGCTGTTGTTGTGGCTGTTCTAACTCATACCAGTTGTTGACCTTGTTACATGGCTTCTCACTTACGGAAATGTATAGTGATGGAGTCCTGGGGTCTATCATATACAGATGTGGGGGTAAAATGGAACATGCATCCCTGCTTCCAGACGAAAGATGGATTCCCAATGAAACTGTTGGACATGTGTAGACAATGGGATGCTTGCTGGACTGACATTGTCTGTGTCAGGGTACACTTAAATAAGAGACTGATAGAATTATGATTCCATATGAAGGACTATACTATTGTAACAAAATGGGAAAAATCTGATGGGGGGTGGGAGTTTGGGGGGCAATCCCAGCTTATACGGAACTGTACCACATAATTCAAAATTCAAAATAAAATTAAAAAAAAAAAAAGAAAGTGATATGACTGACCTTTTCATCATAGCCTATGTAAGCAAAAACCCAGGGGTCAAAAGAAGATAAGGACAGGCAGAAGTCTTGATTAGTACTTCACAATAGTTTACAATAGTGT